CCCACCTTTCTGAAACGCGTCGATTTTTACAAAGCTCATCGGTCTGAAAAAGCGAGGTGTGCTCTGATTGGCCAGCTATCTCGTGCATTGTGATTGGCCGAATACCTCAAGCGTGTGACAGAAATGTTACACCCCTTACCATATGTGGAATATCAGCTTCCAAAGCAATATTGACAGGTGATAATGTCGTCGTTACTACACTCTAAAAAATGCTGGGTTAAATACAACCCAGTGCTGGGTAAAATAGGGACAAACCCAGCAATTTGTCCCTATTTTACCCAGCACTGGGTTGTATTTAACCCAGCAATTTTTAGAGTGTACCTTATCAATTCGAGCCCGAATCTGATCCAGAAAATGCAGATGACCAAGCTGATCAATCAACTTTGCCAGCGCGACTTGAGCAGAACGTAACAGATTGGTAAGGTTTTATTTTACACTCTAAAAAATGCTGGGTTGTTTCAACCCAATGTTGGGTCAAATATGGACTAACCCAACTGTTGGGTTAAATTTTGGTTACATTTTTAAATTAACTTTTTAACCCAACAGTTGGGTTAGTCCATATTTGACCCAACATTGGGTTGAAACAACCCAGCATTTTTTAGAGTGTACAAATAACTATCAAGTTTAACAATGAACTATAACTATAGGTAATTTATTTTTACATATATACGACGTTATAAGAACTGTCTTCACTGTAGTGACTTTGTCGTGGAATGATAAAACATACTGTTGTATTTTTACCTTTTTTGTTCAGGTGCAAATGTAACAACTGTAATAAAATGCCTAATGAAGTTGAAAATGTATGCTGCTTGGAAATACAAAAGGTATTGTAAGTCTTTACTTTGCATTTATGTATAACACCAATGTTATTTTTCATTCATATATATATATATATATGTATATATATGCACACATACTTGCTTTTACTCTTTTGACTGCATTATAAATAGTTAGTGTCTTGTCTTCCACAGGTTGTGAGGCGAATGAACCAGGTTTCAGGCCCTCTACAATGCATGACACACCACCCAGGCTTCGAACCTAACTGTTTAATTCCTTAAACCCTCCAGACCATTAATAACATTTACAGAGCTGATTTTGGATCCCTGAGGCGAAGAACAGAAGAGTAATTTTTTTTTTAAAATGTAATCTTATTTCTATCATTTGTAAATCAAAACAAATAAAATATTGTTTTCAAGACACAAAAGCAACAAAAATAAACCTTGAAGGTTTTTCTTCAAAATATTTATTCGTTGTAAAAAAAAAGAATAAGGCATATAATAGCAAGTATGTACACATTTTCTGTCTTTACCGGCGGTACCGATATCTCGCCTATCGAAGCTTTGTAAGCTGGTGCTATTTAGGACAGATAGAGTGGTTCTCCCGTCCTGTGTTATGCTTCAGATTCGGCAGGAGTTCCCTGATCCGGATGGACAGCTTGTAGGCTTTCGACCGCCCCTTGACTGAAGCGTGAGATGTGGCGGCCAACAACTTCCTCCTTTAAAGGTCTCTCAATCTGGGAGGACAGGATTGTAGGAATGGGGATTTGTTTTAGCTCCTCCACAAATGGTGCGGGGTCTGCAAACACCTCTTCAAAGACCAGCTTCATCAAGTCAGCTACATAGTCTGTAAATATAGGGTACATAAGGAAATTTTATTATGTATATTACTGTCGATCGACAACCAACGTCTTAGTAACATATCAAATGCATCACTATGTATAAAGTGTATTTGTAAGTGTATGAAAATAAAACATTTGATAACATACCATATGAAGGGGCTGTTTTAAGTGGCTTTGCAGTGCATTCACCCTTCTTTGACTTTGGAAAAACAACCTTGTACATAGGTTGTCCTGAAGTTGTCGTTGCCTGCTCACGGTCTCCATTTTCATTGTAGTGCATTGCTGCAAGGTACAACCTGCAGTACAAGAGTGACATACAAGTTAAAACATTACACACTTCCAGCAAATCTTGCATATACATATTTAAAATATACTATATTGCATGTCATAATATACAGTGGGTACGGAAAGTATTCAGACCCCCTTAAATTTTTCACTCATTGTTATATTGCAGCCATTTGCTAAAATCATTTAAGTTAATTTTTTTTCCTCATTAATGTACACACAGCACCCCATATTGACAGAAAAACACAGAATCGTTGACATTTTTGCAGATTTATTAAAAAAGAAAAAACATTTGATAACATACCATATGAAGGGGCTGTTTTAAGTGGCTTTGCAGTGCATTCACCCTTCTTTGACTTTGGAAAAACAACCTTGTACATAGGTTGTCCTGAAGTTGTCGTTGCCTGCTCACGGTCTCCATTTTCATTGTAGTGCATTGCTGCAAGGTACAACCTGCAGTACAAGAGTGACATACAAGTTAAAACATTACACACTTCCAGCAAATCTTGCATATTTAAAATATACTATATTGCATGTCATAATATATAATACCTGCACGACATTCCAATGAAAGAAAAAACGACATTCTTGGGGGCAAAACGCAGGATCACACTGTGAAAGGCCTCTGGCGAAGATGTCTGGTAATGGTGACTGAGCTTTTCCACGTCCTTTAGGACTCGCTTATTGTTCACGAGGCACGACATTCCAGTGAAAGAAAAAACGACATTCTTGGGGGCAAAACGCAGGATCACACTGTGAAAGGCCTCTAGCGAAGATGTCTGGTAATGGTGACTGAGCTTTTCCACGTCCTTTAGGACTTGCTTATTGTTCAGGATCTTTTCCACTTTGTAGAGAGGCATTGACCCTTGAATGACAAAAAGAAACATAATATTTTAAAATGATAAATTACTAGTAGTAAGCTTTGTCTGTACTTTGTCACATTATAATATAATCAAAAAATCTGTTGCATACCTGGTTGGAACCATTTTTTGGGATCTCTGGACACTTTGTCTGGATGTGCACATTTCGGGAATTCAGGGTTCTGATGGATGTGTATATTTTGGATGTGGTTGAGCAGGGAAGTCCATCTGGCCACCTTCTCGGGACCAGAAGTAGACGACGTAACACTCCAGTATACATGATTCTTGATGCTGTGCAACCAATTCTTCAGTATTTCGCACCCCTTTTTTTGTGAAAGTTTGTCCAACTTTTTAGACAAACCTGTAAAAGTATTAATGTGGTGTATGAGTAGTACATTAACGTCACAAACCAGTCATAACCAAAAAAAAATAATAACACGCACAAAGTTTGTCATTACACAGCACTGTATGCAGTGTTGGGCAGTAACGCATTACTTAGTAACGCGTTACTGTAATTTGATTACTTTTTTAGTAACGGAGTAATTTAACGCGTTATAATTTTCAAAATAGTAATTAGAGTATAGTTACAAGCCTATATTATATTATAAATGCAGCGCTCTTTGCTGGCATTCTGCCATCCAAACCATGCACACAGCAGCCGCTTGCTTTAGTTAAAAATAACAGTGTTCTATCAGTAATTTGATTACATTTTCAGAGTAACTTGCCCAACACTGACCGTATGTCACAAAATACACAAAGCTTAATAGTCACCTTTTTCGAAGTTCCACACATCGTAGAACTGTACGATGTTGCGCTCTCTAAGAAACTTCTGGATCGGAGGATGGCGATCCGTTATGATGTATTCCACTGCCAAACCGTTAGCCTCCAGATGATCTAGACAACGCTTCAAGCCCTCCTTCTTCATGTGGTAGCTACCACCTACCTCGTTGCTCTGGGTATAAATTAAATTAAAAAGACATAAACCTACAATTGAATATTTCCCAATGTAACAATATAATAAGTTTTAGGGCTGTCAAAATGACTGAAAAACTAAATTCGAATTTTCCACTTAAATATTATCAAAATTTGAATTATATTCAAATTTAATAGGCATAATTTCAGTTAGGGGGAAAAAAGCTTTTGGCTTCTCTCCTGAGGCCACGAGAGGGCGCATCGAGCAAAATATTATGCACGTTTCTTCAAAGCGTAATGAAATAACACGACTATCTTTGAAAAAAAGTGCATAATGTTTATAAACCATATATAATTAATAAAGTTGCTTATACAATTAGAAACAAAAAAAACAGCACCATGCATGCATGTATAGTTTAATACAAAGGATCAAAAACCAATCTCAAAGAGTAGGCTACTTTTTTCATTTAAAACATGAGATACAGTGGGATGGGGAAAA